TGTGTTTTTAATAATTTTATATTTAATCATACCTCCTTGATACGGATGGTCTAAAACCTCAAAAACCCCAAAAAATGACGCAGATTCATTCTCTCGTTTCATTTCACTCGGCACTGTAGAGATGATGAAACAAGCTCGCACTTTGCTCTCCAGGTTACCCTAATTCCTCGTTTCTCCTCTAGATATTCAGATCTTCGAACCCATCCATTTCTCTCTAATGGCCTCTCTGGGTTTTGTTTTTCTTTTTAAAGCAGGAGCCTTTGTGACCAAAGCAACTCACTTTTCGCTTCTTCGACCTTGCGTGGTTTTGCAACCTGGACAGATTCTTCTCCTACCACTGGACGTGGTTTCTCTGGAAAAGGTAGGAACTTTGCTTGTTTCGTTTGTCTGTTTAAGAGTTGCCCTAATTTTGATTTCGCTTTGTTTGAAAGATGCCGCAAAGCCTAGTGGTCGAGTGTTCGCACCCTATGCTATCTTCAAAGGAAAAGCTGCACTCTCTGTTGAACCTTGTCTCCCCACTTTCACCAAAATCGAGGTATACCCAAAAAAAAACCATTTCTTTCTAAAGAACTTTGAAGATTCTCATTACTTAGGGACTGTGTATGATTGTTAGCCTGGAAATCTCCGGATAGATCGTCGTGGATCCGTGATGATGACTTTTATGCCTTCTGTTGGTGAACGCAAGTATGATTGGGGAAAGAAACAGGTCTTTTTAAATCGTTCGATTTCTCTCTTTCAATACTTTGATTATATGTTTCTTGTTCTGATAAATGGCTTTGTTTGGTACATTGTTGCAGTTGTTTGCTTTGTCAGCTACGGAAGTTGGATCGTTGATCAGTATGGGTTCTAGTGATAGCTCTGAGTTTTTCCATGACCCTTCCATGAAATCAAGGTTTGTTTGCTTTTCCAATACATGGTTTTTACTTACTGATTTGTTGCAAATAATTGTCGTCTTCTTACATACATATGTGTGCGAGTCCTCAGTAATGCTGGCCAAGTGAGGAAGTCATTGTCGATTAAGCCACTCGCAGATGGTAGCGGCTACTTCTTCTCATTGAGTAAGGCTTTCTATATTTGTATTACTACTGAAATCGTTAGTTGTGGGAGCATTTCTGTTGAGTAAATTTTGAAGCTTACACTTGTATTGGTTTTGTATTTTTGCATGGGATAGATTTCTTTCTAATAAATAGGAATGCTGTACAGACACTTAACTTGTGTGTTTTAATGCAGCTGTTAACAATAGCCTCCTCAATACCAATGACCGTATTGTGGTTCCCGTCACAAAAGCTGAATTTGCAGTGATGAAGACAGCTTTTAGTGTAAGATATGATTCAAATTCTGATTTCTCTCTGTTCTGTTACTATCATATCAGTTCGAGAACCAAGAACAGTGACTGGAAAAACAAAGAGCATTGCAATTCTGTTAGTTTTATAGCTCATGAATCTGGATCAAGTATATACTCTTTAAGGAAACGCTATTTGTGATTGTTTTTAACCAGATTTTGTATTTTTTTCAGTTTGCCCTTCCACACATCTTGGGCTGGGGTCGGCTAACCAGTCAAGTTGGTACTGCAGCGCAGGGGATTACTTTACATCCAAAGACTGATCCAATGCAGTTGGAGCTGGAGTGGGTTAAATGAACTGATGGGAGTAGGAATGGAGTAAATTGACAATGCATGTGTTCTTTTTTCTGGAATTTGGCGAACACGAAACTCGGAATGCTATGTTCTTGAAACTAACACGTCCTCTTTAAGACATATAATCATGGGGCTTATGCCCATTGTCTTTAGCACATATGTTATTTTGCGGTAAAAGCATTTTGATTTCAGCTTGATATACAGGTTCAACCATCATAACATACAACTTGAAGACCGAGAAACACGAAACAAAGAACATACAAAAAGAAACTAGTGCAGGAGAGTCATCTGTTGGACATTGACAGGATATACGTCGGTAGGAGGGCCATAGAAAGCTCGTCTAACCAGTATTGAGTTAGCAGTCTGAGTAGGATGGAATGCATCCCAAAAGACATACTGAGCCCTGTTAGGACAAGGATTCTGCAATGGCATACATGTGATTTGTCCTTGGTTCCTCCCAATCCCGCAACAAGCCCTGTCCACTACGCTGAATCCTGTACCATATAAACCTTGTTGATCAGAGTGGAAAGCATAGAAGAAACTTCCTTAGACAGCCATATATTCTACGAGGAGGTAGGTATACCATAAGCAGCTGGGTTGTTTAAGATATCACCAACTGCACCATATGTGTTGCCGTATACGAAGATGGCTCCACGTAATCGCTGGTTCAGCTGGTCAACAAGTGATCTTAGCCCTTGGTTAAATGTGCCTAGAATTTGGTTAACATTGTCAAGGCATCTCCCAGGTGGTGCACTACCGCTGGCTCGTTGGTTTGGTATGCAGCCTAGTGGTGCTACTCCAGGTATAAATACTTTCCTTAGACCTAGGCTGTACAGAGTCTACACATAGATTCAAACAATTATCAGAAGAGACAATGAAGAATAATACTATATGAAGATTTTAAGTATCATACAAGAAGTTGTCGAGCATATTGATTTAGAAGAAGGTAAGCGAACTCAGGCGGTCTGTATCTGATACTGGAGGAGTACATATTAGGCATAAGGTAGTTGTTTATATAGTCATTGCTTCCAAAAACGAGAACCACAAGCGATCTTGCCAAGTAATCCGTAAAGTTTTGGGGACTCATCATCGTTCTCAACTGGCTCAGCGTCGTCTCTAGGTTCACCACTTGCTCGCTCAGGCTGAATCTATCACCCTATTCGTCAAAAGCCATCACTCTCTCTATTAACACACTACACACCATCATATCTTTTAATCAAAAGTGATGACACAAAACTCAGAAGTTACATAGTTTTGGCCTGATTCATCGAGGATTCCTGCAGCTGCAGATGCATAGTTAACTCCTCCGAGGATTCTATTGCCTGATGTGGTTGGATCCGCAAAGGCAGGAGGCGACGAGATTCCCAACAACTGAGCTGTTTTACACAACAGTTTCATTGTTTTTCAGTAAGGTAAGAGATACTGAAAAAAAACTGATTTTCGAGGAAGACTTTTCATTCAAGTGTCTAAAATCTTACCAAGCATATCGACGAAGTTCATGCCGTTACTAAATCTGCCAGTAGGACGGAAGTTTAAGTCGATGCCATAAGGCAAGTAATTGGCTCGAGCTATGGATGCTATAAAGTTGTTGTTCCCGACATCGACCAATGAGTCTCCGAGCACAAACATAGCCGGAACTCTTGCTTGTCCGGTCACCAACTCAGGTTGATGTAATATAACAGAAACCATCAGTGCAAGTAACAACGCATATCCTGCAATATGGTTTCTCATCTTCTTTCCGTTTTTTTTCATTTTTGAATTAGATTGTGAGTCTGGAAGATTATTATATATATAAAGGCTCTTTAAGTAAAACGTGGTGCATGTGACAAGTAAAGTAGGAGTTATCTACCGGATTTTCAGCTTCAATTTGTAACGGCTCTATCTCTCACATATTTCAGCTGCTTGCAATGTAAGCAAGTCAATAAGCTTGCATCATGCTTGAATATTCATAAGAAGAAGACTAGAAATGCATACGCAAGACAAGCCCACGACAAATTTTCATCGCCCGCTTCGGATAAAGATCAAGAAAGTAATGAGTACAAGATTATCTGAGACTATTAACGGATAAAGTTGGCGAAAATCGAAGTAAATCTCTTTAAGGCTGACAACAAATTTTGGAGATAAGAGTAAGAAATGTGAGAAAAGTGTGTGTTTTACCTCTTGAAGAGATAAATTGGCGATTAGAGAAACATTGTTTGAACTAACATCTATAGGGCTCTGTACTTATCATATACATTTAACAACCAGAGAATCATTGTCAATTACATTTGATATTTGTTCCTACTATGGATTGTGCTTCTTGAGCAACTCGTGTATCTAATACATGTAAAATGCCACTAACTTATAATTCACTTTTAATCAATCACCTCTCTGTGTTTGTTTTTTGAGCTGCTTGTTTTCCTTGAGTTGCTGGCGTTGGTGTAGACTCTTCATTTGGTAAAACAAGGACAGGAGCTGCTGGTACCATTTCCCACCGTTCTCGTACGAAAGCTTTAAATTTCTTGACCATATCTTTCCGGAACTCAAGCTCCCGAGTAAATTGATCGAAGAGAACACAAGCCAGAATGTACTTGAAAGGGACAATGACTAGAACCATTGCAGTAGATAGCAAAACCAGTGCTACTTCGGTAGTAACCTGACAAGAGATATTAAATTGTGTAATCAGGTTATAAAACAATAAATAATAGTTACTGTCGCGACCATGATCAATGAAAAAAATCACATGATTCTTTCCCCTACTCCTTAAATTACTAGATAACAGAGTGAAGAAGGCGTGGCAAGAAATAGCTTTGAAACCTGATCCAGCGAGTCGAACATACCTGAGGATGACCTGATAGTACAATTGTCCGTAGTTTTAGAAGCACAACATTCACGCTCTGGAGATAGCTCTCCACATCTTGCATAGCATCTTTGACAGCAATAATTTTTTGAATAGTATTTGAAGATGGCTGATCTCTAATGGTAACCATTCCAAACAATCTTCCAAGACGCCCTTGTCGTCTGAGTCCCTTCAACGTAAGCATCCCAGTTGCCAAAAACATTAAAGACACGGGAAGAACGTACTGCAAAAGGTTCCTGAGGCATAGAATAATATTCTCAGTAGTAGTATCAGATCATTACTTATATAACAATCTCCAAATTATAGGTCCACCAGTTGAATAATATGATTTCTTTTCATGCGTCTGCAAGTTTTAAACGTACATTAGGTACATAATATCACATATCACATGTCGGGGTGTAAACCAACCTGAAAATGATTGTTGATGCAAATGCTAGAAAAGAGACCGTCATATAAGGCTCCTCCCATCGCCGGAGTTTCTCAAACTTTGTGGCAGTTATAGTCACTGGTAGAATGAGTTCCTAGGAGTGAAAAATAAGTGTAAAAGGACAACACTGAGTCACTACTGTCTCTACTAGCTTTACCTTTGTAAAACAAGTTGCGAGGCAGTGAAGAAACACCAAAAATACTGAGCACATCGCACACAGGAGTTGAAGAATGTCTGAACGTGTAAAATAAGGAAACCATCCAAGACAATGTTTTGCAGCAAAAATTATTAATGGGGAAAAAGCGTTACCTTAAAAAGATCAATGTTACTGGGTATCCCTTTGATAGTTGCAGCATCAATAGTGGCTTGAGTTTTTTCTACCACCTTATATTTTTGTCGGCATGTTTCTGCTGCTCTCTCTACGAGTGTGAGATCAGCGACTATAAGATTTTTGCTCAGAACTAAGCCTTGTCTTAAAGAAGAGTTTTTCCAGAAGTTAATAGATGCATTTGAACCCCATGATGGAGATCTCATCCACCTTTTCAAGTAGACACTTCCATCTAGATCAGATGCATTATCAAAACTTTCATAAGAGTTTCCGGAAGTCCTCGCCATTTTACCTCGATTGTAGACTGTGTTTGCAACTTTGGTCACCAATGGTCCACCCCAAAAATTTACAGCTAAAGTTTGACACACAATGTCACCATAGGCTACTTGTCGAAGAAAAGAGAACTGAGCTAGTTTGATAGGATCATCTGGCAAACTCCTCATATATTGAAGAGCTTGAAGTCTTGCAATACAGTTAGATGCACTAGCAATTGCCTTTTCCTTACCCTTCTTTGCACCAAACACATGAGACAGTGATTTATCATACTCTTCAGGCCCAAATTCTCGTAGAAATGTGTGCAACGCTATAACTTCACTAATAATCGCATGCCAAACATCTCGTCTCAGTTCACCTCCTAGGTCAACGAACTCTAGAACCCACGTGGCCAACCTAAATGAACATATTACAGGTTAGCATATCTCTAAGTAAAATGACCACCCAGACATAGGGCGCGCTAAGATAGGCATCAGAACCACATCAGTTACATGAACTCACCCGGGGCCGGATGAAACATTTACTGCAGAATCAAAGAGGGAGAACCCCAGAGGACCCACTTTTGCTTTCTCTACGGATGACTTGTCCCCTGCAAGATCAAGTCTTAAGATCCCTTTGCTGCCCTTTAAGTCAACTGGCTGAAAATGAAAACAATTAATACATTTTGACACCAAAAGAACAGTTCAGTGCGAAGGTGGACATTTCTACACCAAAAGAAAGGTTCAACGACATTTGGGTCTTCAAAGAGTTTAAAATTACACTAATTCTGCAACTAAGAATTCCAGCTAAAGTTGCATATGTATGCACGGAATATGTAAATCTGAAAACAAAATGTATACAATAGCTAAACTCAATCCTATAAAATATAGTATTATTTGACACAGGGAAAAGGAAATAGTGTTCTATCGCTCCTTCCTGATAAACTTACATAATAAAGAACTATAAATACCTGAAAATAGAGAGCTTTGTCAGTTAATGTCAGTTTTCCAGGCCATGCAACGTTATTCTCCCACTTCAAAACAGGTCCTTTCCTGTTAGAGGCCATGCATAGAAGTCTCTCTGATGACAACTGTGGAAATTCTGTAGTCTGGTATGACTTCCGTCCTTCGTGTATTCTGTTCTGACAATGGAAAGAT